GTTTTGACCCTGCTGTACGACTCTGTCTAATAAAAGCTGCAAATGGATTCCTCTGTTCCTTGTGGATCATTACAGAAGACTTCGCCGTCTTCCAATCCAGCAGCTGTTCAACAGTTAACCACTGAACTCACCGCTCAAGCTTCCCGCCTGGATGCTACACCACCAGCAGCTCAGCCATCTTACCACACTCACTGAACAGCTTGTACCAGGGATGCAGGAGCTTCGCACCGCAGTCGGTGCCACACCCAATCCGCCTGAGCCTCTCCGTCACCGATAGTCCCACCTGTAAATGTGAGTACATCAGTCAATCCTCGGCTCGCTTTTCCTGATAAATTTGATGGCACACCAAGTAATGTAAAGGATCCTGCTACAATGCACAATTTTCGTTGACCAACAACCTGCCCTTTATCCCAGTCACGGGAGTCGTATTGCATTCGTATGCTCGCTGCTCACCGGCAGAGCATTGGAGTGGGCTACGGCCATCTTGAAACCAGACGGGAATACGTTCACTACTTTTCAAAGTTCACACAACAGTTTCGACAAGTCTTCGAACATACCACGGGAGAAGGAGATGCGGGAGAACAACTTTTAAATCTCACACAAGGGAGGGACACCACCGCTGATTATGCACTGACTTTGAACGCTCGCTGCACAGACCAACTGGGTAGAGGACACTTTAAAAACTCTATTTAGAAGAGGACTTAAACCCCGAACTCCAGTCTGAGTTAGCCTGTCGCGACGAGGGGAGAAGTTTGAATGAGTATATTTCCCTGGCTATTCAAGTCGACAATCTGATCCGTACACGACGTAAACCCCGGGCAACTAATCGAACTTTTCTCCCGGCAGCAACCCCTCATGAGCCCATGCAGTTGGGTTTCACACCCATTTCTCCAGAGGAACGAGAACGCAGATATCAGAACCGACTGTGCATGTACTGTGGCCAACCCGGACACATGAAGCTCTCCTGTCCCGTACGACCATCCTCTCATAACTCTCCGTGAGTTCGCCCGCTAGAAAGGGAAAATCCTCTAATCATTCTCCAATTCCAGTTCGATTAACAATACAGGAACAAGTGTTTGATACTATAGCCTTTATTGACTCTGAGCCGCTGGAATTTCATGTCTCAATCATTCGCTGAACAATGTAACGTCAAATTGAATCCATGTCATTCTTTAACAGTGGAAGCGCTAGATGGACACCCCATCGGAGAGGGAAAGATCCAATGTATTACGGCAAACATTAGGATGGACATTGGATCTCTGCATTCGGAAAACATCCAATTTTACGTCATTCACGCACCTCTTCACTCTATCATTCTGGGATATCCATGGCTCCGGACTCATAACCCTCAGATCTCCTGGAGAGAAGGTGAGATTATCCGCTGGGACGAAACCTGCCAGAATCACTGTTTAACCAAGGTCACCAGAATAATCCAGTCCATTTCAGCATCCTGCACGAAAATACCCGAACTCGAATCATTACCCCCCAACTATGCAGATCTTACTGAGGCATTCAGTAAAGAAAAGGCGTCGCAACTTCCCGAACATCGTCCCACTGACTGTGCCATAGATTTGATTCCCGTGCCACTCCCCCAAAAGGGAGAATTTTCCCGTTATCCAGACCTGAGTCCGAGGCCATGAAACAATACATTGAAGAAGAACTCGCTAAGGGTTTCATTCGTCCATCAACTTCACCTGCCGCAGCCGGGTTCTTCTTCGTAAAGAAGAAAGACGGAGGACTCAGACCCTGCATTGACTATCGAGGATTAAATGATGTAACAGTCAAATACCGCTATCCACTGCCTCTTGTTCCTGCAGCACTAGAACAGCTTCGACAAGCCAAATATTATACCAAGCTCGATCTACGCAACGCTTACAACCTGGTTCGCATCCGTAAAGGGGACGAATGGAAAACTGCTTTTTCTACCACTAGTGGGCACTATGAGTATTTGGTTATGCCTTTCGGCTTGTCCAACAGTCCTTCAGTCTTCCAGGCATTCATGAATGACATTTTCCGAGATATGCTGGACAGATGGGTGATCGTTTACATTGATGACATCCTGATCTATTCCAATTCATTTGAGGAACACGTCCAACATGTCAGATCGGTCCTTCAACGATTAATTCAATTTCATCTATACGCCAAGATGGAAAAGTGTGAGTTTCATCAAACCAGCGTCTCATTCCTGGGATATATCATCAGTCAAGATGGGGTCGCGATGGATGAGAAGAAGGTGAGGGGAGTAGTGGATTGGCCACTACCTCAAACAGTGAAGGAACTACAAAGATTCCTGGGCTTCGCAAACTTTTACAGAAGATTCATCAGAAACTTCAGCTTAATCACCGCCCCTCTAACCGCCTTAACCAAACGACACACATCTCGCATTTCATGGAACACCGAAGCACAACAGGCCTTTCAAGAACTCAAGAGACGTTTCACTACTGCACCCATTCTGCGTCATCCGGATCCTGAACGCCAGTTCATTGTCGAAGTGGATGCTTCTAACACAGGGGTGGGGGCCATCCTCTCACAGCGTCAAGGGAATCCAGCCAAGATGTTTCCGTGTGCCTTCTTTTCCCGTAAACTCTCCTCAGCCGAACGCAACTATGATGTGGGCAACCGTGAACTACTAGCCATGAAGTTAGCATTGGAAGAATGGCGTCACTGGCTGGAAGGGGCAACCGAACCATTCATCGTACTCACAGATCATAAAAACCTGGAATATCTACGATCAGCCAAGCGCCTCAATCCCCGCCAAGCCAGATGGGCTCTCTTCTTCACGAGATTCAACTTTACTGTTACTTACCGTCCCGGATCCAAGAATACCAAAGCTGATGCTCTCTCTCGTCAAACTGAAGAGACGAACTCCAGTCCCAACCCAGAAAAGATACTCGGTGAGAAATTACTACTAGCTCCTGTTCAGTGGGATATCATGACAGAGATTCAGAACGCCAATGTCCAAAACCCAGCACCGATTGAATGTCCCGCCAATCTCCTCTTTGTCCCAGATGCCTTGCGATCCCGTCTCCTGGATCAAGTCCACTCTAATCCCAGCTCTGGTCACCCTGGAATCAACGCCACAATTCATCTGCTCCAGAACCGGTTTTGGTGGCCTACCATTACTTCAGACACCATAACCCACATCCAAAACTGTACTGAGTGTCAAACTTCAAAATCACCTCGAACACTACCCTCTGGTCTTCTCTGTCCTCTACCCACACCACAACGACCCTGGTCACACATAGCCATTGACTTCATCACCGATCTCCCGAATTCCCAAGGCTACACTACCATCCTCACCATAGTAGACAGATTTTCTAAAGCATGTCGACTGGTCCCCCTCACTAAACTTCCCACAGCTCTCGAAACTGCCGAAACTCTATGTAATCAAGTCTTCCGTTTTTATGGTTTACCCGAAGACATCGTATCTGACCGTGGACCCCAATTCACCTCCCGAGTCTGGACTGCATTCTTCAAGAACCTCAATGTGAACATCAGTCTTACCTCCGGGTACCATCCACAATCCAACGGTCAAACCGAACGCCTCAATCAGGATATCATACGTTTTCTACGCACCTACTGTCAGCAACATCAGGAAGAATGGAGTAGATATCTATTCTGGGCCGAATATGCTCAAAATTCCCTCGTCAAACCAGCAACCGGCATCACACCGTTCAAATGCATCCTTGGATTCCAACCACCTCTATTTCCCTGGTCCGGTGAACCCACAGAACTCCCATCTGTCACGGAATGGCTTCAAAAGAGTGAGGAGGTTTGGGATCAAGCACACACTCATCTGCGGCATGCAGTACGGCGCCAGGAGCATCAGGCCAACCGTCATCGTCGTCCAGCTCCCGAATACCAGGCGGGCCAATGGGTATGGTTGTCCACCAAGGATCTTCGACTCAGACTTCCATGTCGCAAGCTCAGTCCCAGGTATGTTGGTCCCTTCCAAATTTTAAGACAAGTTTCACCTGTATCATTTCGATTAGACCTGCCCGCTAACTACCGCATTTCTCCCACCTTTCATGTGTCTCTGTTGAAACCCGCTGGTGGTCCGAGGGAGAAGCGGAGGAGGGGGCTGCCTCCCGGGGCCTCCTGCCTTTCTGGTTGACGGCGAGGAGGCGTACAAGGTGCACAAGTTGCTGGATTCCAGACGTCGGGGTAACATTCTCCAGTATCTGGTCGATTGGGAGGGGTACGGTCCGGAGGAGCAGTCCTGGGTCAACTCAAGGGATATCCTGGACCCCACTCTCACGGAAGAGTTTCATAGGACATATCCGGAAAAACCGGCCCCTCGACCCCGTGGGAGACCCCGACGACATTTGCCTCCTCGCGTCAGGAGCCGCTCGCAGGGGGGGGGCTCTGTTACAATGGAGGCTCCCGCTCCGCCTCCTCTCCGCCACCAGAGGGAGCCTTCACCAGAATATTGACCATTGGCTTTGAACTCAAATTCCCATCATACCTCTTACCTGGGACTGATTGCGTCACACACCTGCACCGCATTAGCACACACACATAAAAGCCACTTCCACACACCACACCAGTGCGAAGTCTTGATTTGCCCCGGTGATCATTTCTGAGCGTTTATACCCCTGATTCTTATTCTCTGGTTTTGGACTTTGGACTGTTTGACTCCCCCTCGATTGATATCTGCCTGGCCTGAACTCGGACTGTTTCCTGACCACGATTATTGCTGCCTGCCCCGATCTCTGCCTGTATCTTGATTATCCCGCTGTCTTGTCTGCATTGCTCTGTCTGCCCGTTTTGACCCTGCCTGTACGACTCTGTCTAATAAAAGCTGCAAATGGATTCCTCTGTTCCTTGTGGATCATTACAGCAGGGCATTGATATTGCAGACAGGCAGATTATACAGTCAACTTGCGGATGAAACATTGTTTTTGTTATTTTTTACCTCATCAGCATGCTTAATATGTCACTAATGGCATTAGGCAGGCTTACTTGAAAATTCAATATTCAAAAATGAATTATATGTATTGTATATGATGCACATCGTCACTTTGAGTCAAGATCTGGGTTTCTGATACATTTGCCTAGTATTCTAAAAGTGAATCAGTTACAAAACGTATATGGAGACTGCATTACTCCAAACATGTTTTACAGA